TATTTTAACTTAACATCACTGATCAACTTATTAAACCACACTCATGAAGTAAACTAATTGCTCAACCACTCGTTTATGTTTCGTTTTTTTATATTTTATATCACGAAATGATCATAGTTAAATAGTCATTGAAAGCCGGGAAGCATTAGAAAGTTGTTTCATCTTCGTGTGAAACTCCTCGACTGTCCATATCCACTATCCGACCAGGAATTAAACTGGGAACCTTCAGGCCCTGCGACGAGCGTTCAACCACTGAGCTTGCATCTAATGGTTGAGATACTGTAAAATCGCTTAGCACTGTCTTTGATAGATAAATGTCTTAGAGTGAAACACCGTTAGCCATGGGTTATCACTAGAAATGCGTAAATTATTTCCAAAATTAGTCACTAGTGAGAAAATTATCATTATTAGCGTAAGGGTTTGTGTTGCGTAAACTTAAGTTAATCAATCTAAATTTGCTTACAATGACTTTGAATTAATATTTTCCATGTAATGTTTTTATTTTCTAGTTATCACCACGTGATACAAGTAATTTCGATAGTGAATTTACAAAAGTCACTCCGGAATTATCACCAACTGATAAATTATTTGTTATGAATTTAACTCAAACAGAGTTTAGTGGATTCTCTTTTGTTAATCCGGAATTTATTGTTGAAGTATGAGATTTTGATTCTTTCTTAGTATCTTGTTTGTTTGTTTGCTCCCTTCTGTGTATTACTCTTTGAATTTCATTGTGAATAATTACTTAGTTTCAGCATACCTCTATGTTCTTTTCGGTTCATCTATTTATTTATCCATTGTTCCTTACTGTTTTCTTCCGTTTTTTAAATGCATTTATTAATGGCTTTTTTATAGCAGTGTTACTTCTGTTGTATACAGAGAGTTTGTCTTTTATTATGTGAATTCACAGTGTGTGTATGATGTATGTATGCGTGATCGTTACTTTGAGTTTATGAAATAAAAAATACAAACAATAAAACCAAAACAATGGTAAATATATACATGAATGTTGTCACTAGCTACCTTATTGACATAGTTGCCATGTTACAGGGTATTATCAAGTGTTTCTATGTAGCATTTTTGGTTTGTTCATATACTTGTCAACTTCAACTATGGCAAATTTATGACAAACCGACTACTTTTCATTTATATATACATATATAGATAGATTCATACAGGAAATGTATAAGATCATATTCTTAGTATTTGATATTTTGGCGTTAATTATTTCACAATTGTTTTTCATTTTCAATATGTTATTTGTAAATTTATTAAAGTTTTATTTTCAATTTAGAATCTCTTTATTACTTTTCTTTTTCTTACTCTGTGTTTGCTCATTTTTGCTCATTTTATGTGATATTATTCTTGTTGGAACTATGTTTATTATAATCGATTTACTTTGTACTTGTTTATTTAAAATACATTAGGGATACATTAGTTTCCTTTACATAGACTTTTTTTTCATCATACATTTTTTTTCTTTTTTTTTGCTGGATTAATATGAAATTCTTACCTTCTGTTACTGACTTGGATGTGCAATAAAATTGATGGTATATATGAATGAGAAAAAACAAAACATTCCAATTATGAAGTACTTTTACTACTATCAATATATAGTAGTATGTTCAATGTTACTAGTATCAGTAGTAGTAGTAGTAGTAGTAGTAGTAGTGATAGCAACTGAACTAATGTATCTGTTCGCTAACCTGATCATCAATAATTTACTTAAATTTTTTGTGTATTACACTAATTTAACGTATAATTTATTTTGAAATTTTTTTCATCCATTTTCTTGATAATATTTAATTTTAGTCAAATTTAGTTGTCCCTGTGTGTTATTTTCGTTGTTGTTGTTTGTTTGTTTCATTTTTTCATAACATCTGCATCAGTCTTTCTTCTTCTTCTTTTCCTCCTTCTCATCTCTTCCTGCATCTGTTTATTTTTCTTTAATTTTGTTTCTTTTATCATGTGCGTCAATTTAAAAACGTTAAACACTTCAATGAGATTCTCTGTTGTTTATTATTATTGTTCGAATGAAAGCTGATTTAAGAAAAAATAAAATGCCAAATGAAATCAATCACAACAAAGATGTGAGAATTTTTCTGTATGTTTGTAAGGCAGCTGTTCTCTTCAATTTTTCTCGTTTTTTCTTTCTTTTGTATGTATACAAACAAGTCATCGATTAAGCACAATTATTACATAACAAGAAGTTGTTTTCATGTTTATAAACAACCCTGTTTTACTTTTTGTCATTTACATATTTTAATTTATTGATCAAAATAACCATTTTATTCCAATTTATTCATTTGTGAATCATTGTGTTTATTCATAAAATTATTATTAGAAAGAAATAAAAATTAATTTCTTCTTACTGTCATCATTGTTTTATTGATTTTAATTTATATATAATAATAAATGTTGAATTTTATACATTAGTCGGTTAATCAACACTTAAATATTAACTTGTCTACTACTGAAATAAAAGCTTTAGATATTCTTCACTTTGACAAATAGAAATCAGTATAGGTCATCATTACTTATCATTTTAATTATCTCTCTCGTTATTGGAGTTTATGTTTTATAAATCAAGATAATAAGTTTAAATCTCTATGTAAATATCAGTACAAGAATATAGTTACATCTAGATATCGAGTCTGAAATCGGAAGAAATGTTCTTCTTGAATTTTTATTGTTTATCATAATCTATCTTTTTTTTCAAAAATCAGTAATTTTAAATTATTGGAAAGCTGTCATTAATATTGATTTTTCACTGTTTTATTTAGTTATCTAATACATAATCAAAATATGTGAAATAAACATTTTGGAAGAACTAATGTTGATATATTTAAGCTTTTGCTATTTTTAAAGTGTACCTAGAGTTTTAATAATTTTCCTAATTAGGATTGTTTTTATTTATAAAGTGTTCTTTCGGTACGTCATTTTGTAAGAATAATGTGAAATGACTGGTTAAAATATTAATAAATATATGTAAAAGCTTTAACATTAAGTTGTAGGCTTGAATCTTAGCTACTTTGTGGAGTAGCATTGTTTCCCATGCAAAAGTTTGTTTTTTAAAAGTTTAGTGTATCAAACTTCGTCTGAATAAATAAGTTGTCATATATACCTTTCTATTGTGCCATAATAATAAACATAAAAGCTTTTTTACAGATGTAATGAAATATATTTCGATGCAGATATTGGTGAAGATTTACGCTTTTTTTCTTAAATAATAAATTTCAAATTAAAAATATCCACTATAAATTTAATTTTTGCAGAGCATAAATTTTGTGGTTTAAAATTCAGTAGTAATAAGTAGTTTCGATCATTTGCTAAACATCGTTAAATTTCATGAAACTATTCATTCGCATGTGTTAATTAAATAGTACTAAGCTTTGCACACAAGATACTGTTCAAATATTCTGTTTGCAAATTATCAGTGTTAAACTGAACCATTAACTTCTAACCGAAAAGCTCATATGTCTAGTTATCGGAAATATACATTATGTTTTCATCTAGTGATTTGAACATGACCTTTAATGGTATATATATAAACGTTGAGCACTTGTACTAGATGTTAACGAAAATAGCATACATACTGACCAATATAGTTTTAGTAAACTGTTTAATTTCTTGCTGGTATGGTTTTTAATCTTTTCAACCACTTACCGCTTAAATTCATTCAATAATCTTGGTAGCATATTTATATAGAAGTTAAAACATCAAAATATTTCTGAATGATATATTCCAACTATTGAGATGTTTATAGATTAGTTGTTGCTTATTATGATTGATTGCTCAACGTCGTATTACAAATACTGTGCATAGTTTTATATGTTGAGATTGTGGTAGTCAATTTTCAATGGAGCAATCGACTTTTGAATGATTGTTTTATTCGTAATGATAAACATTTTTGACTCACAATAGTTTAGTGATGTATCCATCCTATAATTAATTGGAACATCAACATAAGTACTTTGAGTAGTGTTTTCATGTTGCTTTTTTAAAAAACAAACCAGCCAGTTGGTTTGATACTTGTGTTGTGATATTACGAGTAGTGACTGAAAGCAAAATATTTATTATGGTCTTTAAAATAATGATTCGACACTGATTGGGTGTTTGCCGTTCACTATATTGTTGCAACACGGTAAAGATTATATGGAAACAAAGATGGATAGCCTTCATCAACTGGAATACATAAATGATTGTAAGATGTTTAGTCACTGTATGAGATCAAATATTTTAATTCTGCTTTGATTTTTACGGAAATTCAACATTTATATTGACTTTTTGTGTGACTTTTGTATTTGTATTGCATTACACCAAATTTGAATGTAAGATGAAGCATGTATGGACAATAATCTCTTTCACAACTTTGGCAGATAATTCTTAACGTTGATAGCAAAGTGAATACTGTTTCTACTGATATCAGATAATAAGTGACTCGCTTAATTTATTAAGGTACGCTATGATTATCCCTTATTATTTCTTTCAAATGAATAACTATCTATCTTTACAACTTAATTGAATCCACAAACCATCTCCTTCATTTGGAACTCCTGAAATAAATCAAAATTACAAATTTTAAACAATAAGTTATAACAACTGGAAGAGTACTAAAAAGTTGTTTCGTTACATATTGTATTATTTTTAACAGTACGTATCCACAGCCTCATATAAGATCAAATCTTTGATCTTCAGGTTATGTAACAAGCACAACACTTAGTATTTCGGAGAGTTTTTATTTATTTATAAATAACTAGTCAATTCAATCTTTCATGTCAGGCGTTCGATCTCATTATTGTTACTGAAAAAATATTCAAAATAAAGATATGAAAAATTATTATAATACCTTAGTATATGATTTTTCACTTTGAAGATACTACTTTTGCTAAATATTTTTCAATTCATAAACTTCTCTATATTTATATGTATTAAATCTCACAGTGATTTCATTACGTAACTGATATTTTCTTTTTCTTACATTCTCTTCTTGTGAAATAGTTTTCATCTACATTTGTGAAATTCATTATAAATTACATTTGTATGGTATACCCAATACATTTTTGACAACAGCAATGATGATGTTATGCTATCGTGATCGGTCAATTCCAAAAAGTTTCATTATATTATTCATTTAAATAATGTGTTTCATTTGATAGGTTTAAACTTTGTGCAATTATTCTATAATTCATTAAAAAAGTTTGCTAATATGTACAATGTTTACATACAATTGATTTTATCAGAGATCAATATAGAACAATTGAAAGAAATGATGAAATTATCTGTAAAGTATGTTTTAATTAATAATGACACTAATAATAATAATACTAATAATAATAATTATTATTATTATTACTATTATTATAATATAAAATTATAGATGTAAACGTCTTAAATCGATATGCAATAAATCAATTAATCATCGTTATGTAAGTTTTTTTTTATTGTTGATAAAATTCATTTTATATTTTATGATTATTTTAGATTTTTAATATATTACGAAAATATATGGATTATTTTAAAGATGCTTTCTATTCTAATCATAATTTCAATATATTTTTAAAATATATCCTTTTTATATAAATTGATCATTTTAATAAAAATTAATTAATTTGTAAATATTATTGTTTGTTTATATTCTTTAATTAACTGTTACTTGTTTACTTATTTATGCCTGTTACTCCTTGTGAAGGAGCATGGGTCGCTCATCGGCATTCTTCATCTAACCATGTCCTGGGCAATCCTTTCCAGCTCTTTTCAGTTATTATATATTCTTTGTTATATCTGCTTCTATTTTCCGACGTACTGTGTTCTTTGTCCTTTCTCTTTTCCGCTTCCCTTCAGGAATTCAATTTAAGGCTTGCCTTTTGATTCAGTTTGATGATTTGCGTAAAGTGTGTCCTATCTATTTCCATCATCTTTTCTTAATTTCTTCTTCAGATGGAATCTGATTTGTTTTTTCCCACATAAGGCTGTTGCTGATGGTATCCGGCCAATAGACAGCTATTTGTAAATACGTAAACGTTCTTGATGATGGTTGTTGTAGTTCTCGAAGTTTCAGCTCCGTACAATAGAACTGTATTGACATGCCTATTGAAGATTGTGACTTTGATATTGGTTGAAAGTTGTTTTCAGTTCCATATGTTCTTCAATTGTAGGAATGCGGGCCTTTAATTAATTAACTACTGCTAACCTGATATTATAAAATCATATTTTTGTTTTAATATACAATTTCATTGTTTGTTTTTTAACTTTTAATTTTACTGTTGAAAAATTATTTTGTTATTTGATAATCTACGGGTTATAAAGTTTTGATTGAAACTATTTTTATTGTGTTGAGATTCATGATTGATGTTTCTATGAGGTTCAACCTCAAGACAGATGTATTTCTAAATGAATGTGTTACTTTTGAATTATATAACTTTAATCCAGTACATATCAGTCTCTAACCTTTGGTTATATGACAGAAATTATTATATGAATGTGCTGTTTTGCATTGTATATAATAGTAACTAGAAGTTGAATCATCAAGTAGAACTCAGACAATACCAAGTGAGTATCAATTATTTTCAGTTATTTTCTTCTGTCTAATTAAGTCAACTTTCAGAGAAATATACAATGTCTTAAATCATATATCATGTGATTTTCCTGAAGTATATTCACTATTTCTTTAACATTCATTTATTTCTAATACATTTGAAGCATTTTATTAGCATGCAATATGGTTGCGGTATTCGACTATCCTCTATTTATCACTCATTTAAAGTACGTTGTTCAGTTTTAATTTTGCAATTTTGAAATCACTCTTTTTAATTTGTATCCTATACTATGGACGTATTAATTCGTGAAGATCTGTATTATCTTGTGATTTACATTCATGACTAAATGTTGTTGGAATATATATGCATCTTGGACAGATACTTCGATATTGCCTTTTTTACACATTTCAGTTTTGATAATGAAGCTATGCAAGACTTTACTAGTAAAAATAACACCTAGTCAATAAATTATCAGTTATCTGAACTCAGTAGCTTAGTGGATAAAGCGTTGACATTTGAAGTAAATAGTACTTGTTTCTAGTCTTAGTCTACACAGCAGCACTGGTATGAAAGTATATCGAGCTGATAGGTTCTAAACGGGTTAAGACGCTCGTCCTGGATTTCAATACCATCCACGATTTAAATCAATCAAGATTTATTCCATCTGCTTTTCTTTATATATTGATATCCATGATCACTTGAATCTTAAGAAAGAAAGAAAATATTATAAATCTAGTCAGCAAATAGGTTTGTTGGAAGAATTTTTCGATGATACGTGTTGATATAGGCCTCCGTGCACTGAATTTCAAATGTTCACTGGTTAGTAATCAATTCTATACACAAGTATTCTATTGTTATTGTTTTTTTAACATTTTAAACTAGCATGTTCAGTATATTGATCATTTCGGTTAGTTCTCCAATTTTATTTTATACAATATCATTTCTTATTTCTGCTTATTTCCTATAACACAGAGACTTTTATTAACAATTAATGCAATAAGTTTATTTTTGTGTTTCACTATATGAATTTTTATTAGAAACCATAATTTATTTCCATCATCATCATGTACTTTTTCAACTTCTATTCAATTACCTTTGAATGGTATAAACTCAGTATAATTTCTTTAAATAGTATTTAATTTTCAAATAATATACTTCTACACCAATTAAAACCCTCAAGTACTCCTCTTTACCTAATGAATTAATATTGGTTTAATTAGTAATTCAATAAACAAATTCGTACTTAGTATTCTTTAGTTATAATATTAGCACACACCATTATTCAGTTCATTCGAGATGATAGAAGTAAAGTCTTTTATCTAATTTGAATCGACCACGGCATCTCTGTGCTAATGTGGTGTGGCAACTCGAACTGATGTACGTACGTACGAAGTTCTACGTTGTTACTGACTGACTGACTGACTTTTATCTAATTTCCACTTTCATTGGGCACAAATATTTGTTGTTAAACGATAAATAAAACCAATACGTTAATAAACTTTCTTTAATCAACCGTATATCGAAAAAATCATCATGATCATCAGACAAATCAAGAGCGAGAAAGCAGCAGAACCTGACAATATACCAGCCGAAGCTCTAAAGTCATTGCAAGCATGCTTCATGTTCTCTTCAGGAAGCTTTGGAAGGAAGAGCAAGTGCCGATGGACTGAGAAGAAGGACACTTCATCAAGAAAAAGCAAGATCTCAGCAAATGTGAGAACTACAGAGGCATCATATTACTGTGAGTTTCAGGAAAAGTTTTAAGCATAGTGTCTCTGAACCGGATGAAAGACTCAGTACACGCCGAACTGCGAGACCAACAGACCGGATTCCGTAAGGATCGGTTGTGCACAAACCAAATAGCGACATTACAGATCATCATTGAGCAATCACTATACATCAAATCCTTTGACTATAAGAAGGCGTTTTACAGTGTGGATAGGAGAACCTTCTGGAAACTCCTTCGAAACTATAGTGTACCTGAGAAGGTCGTCAACATCATCTGGAATTCAAACGATGAAATACACTGCAAAGTCTTGTATGGAAGATAGCTGACAGACGCATTCCAAATGAGGATTGGAGTCAGACAAGACTGCTTCCTCTTCCCATTTCTTTTTCTCTTGATGGTTGGCTGGATTACGAAGACCTACACACCTCAGAGATACTACGGAATACAATGGACAGCTTGAATTCAACTATTCGATTTGGACTTCGCAGATGATCTGACTCTTCTATCCTATGCACACGAACAAGTGCAGATGAAGACAACTAGTGTAGCAGCAGCCTCTATGGTGGTAGGTCTTAATATACAGAAAGGAACAACCAACATCCTCAAATACAACACGGAGAACACCGACCCAATAACATTTGATGGAATAACCCTGGAAGATGCGGGATCTTTCACATACCTTGATAGCAGCATCATTGATGAACAAGGAGGATCGGATGCAGACATAAGATTGGCAAAACAAGGGTCGCATTCATACAGTTGAAGAACATATGGGATTCAAAACAACTGTCTGCAAGCCAACATCAAAGTCAGAATCTTCAATACTAACGTAAAGACAGTTCTACTGTACGGAGCTGAAACGTGGCGAACTACTACAGCCATCATCAAGAAGGTATAAGTATTTATAAATAATTGTCTACACAATATTCTGTGATAAGATATAAAGTTCATTTTGATTTAGTCAAATTAATCCTTTTGCCTTTTTATAATTTATATACATAATACGTTTACTTTTTCTGTCATTATTAGGTGCCTGATGATAGATCTTCAATATGGCGAACTTATTTTTATTCACTTGTATACACTTTATTAAGTGGTTTAGTTGTCTTTTACTTGAAAGTAAGACATAATACTTCTTTTTCGCTTAATCATAATCAATATTATTATTAAGAAATATTTTCGATGGTGTGAATTTAATACTGTTGTGCCGACAGTAGCTTATTTCACACATAAAAGTTGGAAAAAGCTAAGTACTGATTTTATCACTGGTAAGTAATAATTTTTTTCTAATTCATTTTGATTTACCTTTAGGTTAGTTAGTAATTAATATGTTATAATAAATGATAAATTTTTTTAAGCAGTTCTCATCATGAATCGATATATCAGCTAATGAAAAGTAAAGAATGCTAGTTAGTAATTTCGTTGTCATTGGAGACATCTTAACAGTGTACATACATATCACTGCTGAGTATTAAACTCAATATATTTAAGTCTCTTGCGGTGATCTTATTGACAGTAATAAATAACTGAGTTGTAATTTACTAATTAATATTTCATACAGTTCCTAGTGAAGCTTGACTATAGTTTGAATACAACAATGATGACTGTATCATTTACTATGTTGTTAAACTTCATGAGTTATAATATTTTATTAATATGCATATACCTATAATGAAAACCCTCTCCGCATTAATACAATCTTTGCAATTCACTCATCTACCTAAGTAAAGTATGATGATCATTTTCTACAGTTTTTGACATTTATAAAATTAAATTTTAAAAAAAAACAACAAATATCATAGTAGTATAATATGAATTCATTAATTTTATGGATTGTTCTCAGCTATTTACACAATTAAAGCCTTATTACTATTTATTAAAACGTAACAAACATCAGAATCTTCTAGAATAACTTAAGTTAATATATGGAAATAGAATAATATCTATTATCACAATAATACTGAAGTATTATTACTTTTCAAACATTTGTTTATTTTTCGACTTAAATATATGAATATTGTAGAAGGCCATAGAAACAGAAAAATAAATTTCTCTCGAAACCAAACATTAATTATGTAATATAGACTAGTTAATTAAAGTTCAAGAGTAAGAATTCGTATATTAATGTTTATGAAAAATATTCATTTATGTTTTGATGAATGAGATTAGAATTTTAGATTGTAAACAGTTGAGAAAAAAAAACCCAAGAATTGGATTGTATCCAAAACGTTCCTGGGTTCGAGATCGTGGATGTGCACTTCTGAGGAGTCTCATACTACTATCAGACAGCCGTCCAATGCTTGCAGATTTTCAATTAAGATCTAGCTTAAGTCGATTCATAAATTCAACTATTAAAATCACTACAATCTTCACAAACCCTCATTCTAATAAATCTGAATATAACTGGACGTGAATTTAAAGGATGTAGTTTAGATCTACCATTTATTTATTTGTTTTAACACAGATATTGGTACAAAGAGGCACCAAATACATATGCGCCACACAAATCTCATTCAATATGTGTGAGGACTGCCTGGGTGCCCAAACCGAAGCAGGTGGTTTTCTTAGGGGGCCACACTTGGATCCTTCGACCTGAAGGTCTGATCCACAAAGCAGTGGAGCATCGTAAGGAGATGCGTTCCCATGTTAGCCGGTGATCAACGATTGGTTCATACGCCATTTGTTCCTTCAGGATACTGGAGCCCATGTGCACCATTGGTTTGGAATCAATATTTTCCAACTCCCCTAAATGAACTCTCCATGTCCACCAACCCGGTTAAAACGCCGGACATTCACTTTTCGTCCTCTCACTTTCGTAAACAACACTCCAGCCACAATAACGCGATGAGTAGGACTTCCCTGGTAGCGACCTACCATTAGAATCTTCTTGAATAACTTTTAATCCAATCAGTTGATATACATTAAAATATACCTTTTGAAATTTAACTTACATTCAAGTATTCACTTTTTTTCTACATATTAATCAATTATTCAATTTCTTTGTTTTTTTCCCTCAATTTTAATTTAGATTTAATTAAAAATAATATAATTCAAAATAAAATTAATAATAATTCAATGTCATTAATTTATTCCAATGAAACGATTAATAAAACTTATATATTAACACATAGTATTGGACGTTTATCTATGAAACCATTTGGAAAAGATTTTCGTTTAGTTATTAATGCTAATTATCATTTATTATCATTAAAAAATTTAATTAATCAAACAGAATTAAATTCAAATATTCAATATTCAATTCAACCTTGTTTAAGTCTTAATCAACGTTTAAAATTAAATAATGGTTTATTTGAATTTCTTAGAAAATTAAAAATTGAAGTAAGTAATGAGTTATACATTTTAGTTTGTTTGTTTTTTTCTCATTCCTTCAATACTTATTAAAATATAATATAGTTTCACTGAATTAATTAACTATGCTCTAATTAGGTATCATTATTAAGGTTTGACTTGAATAATTTCGAATAAATTAAGCATTGAGTTGATTGTTATGAATAAATTAATACATATGTAATGTCTTAATGAGTAGAAAAATTAGATTTTCTGACGTTTCGTGACTTAATGTAAGACACTTCTTCAGAGGACAAACAAACGAATTATTTGTTCTTTGAACAAGTGACATAAACTGAGTCACGAAATGTTATAAAATTTAATTTTTCTACTCATTGGGATATTGCAAATATATTAATTTATTTATGTCCTACATATTTGACTATTAGTTAAATATAGGTGGACATGAATAATACATTACTTTAATTCATTTAAAAAACATTACTGTTAGAATACTCAACGATGTAATTAAATAAAGGTTTCATCAATCTATCAATTAACCTTCATTGATTTGTTCTAGTTTGAAATTCCTTAGAAATGTAAACTTTCTTCTTCATATTAGATTAAATGTAGTATTTACAAATCTTGCAGTAAGTCTAGTATCTTTAAAATGATCTAAATTATTCATTTACTTCTTACTGATTTGTGTTGTTGTACATTAGACATCCAACATCATTCCTAAGTCATTATCTTACTTTTCAAATGATTGGCTGTGCAAATTCACATTCCTTCGCAGAACTTTGTAAAATTTATCTACAAATAGTAATCATTCGTTAATAGAATCGTTCATTAACTTTATCGTGAATACTACTAACGAATTGTACAAAACACCCATGAGACCATTTTTGAAAAAGGGAATTGTGATCTGTACTAGCCTTCTTTATTATTCATTTATTGCATTGGTACTTAAAAGTGTTGTGCTTTAATATATAATCAACAATGGATGTCACAATTTTACAGGCTTATTTCTGATTATTTATCCCTGAAATTTCTTTAGACTCTACAATGAAACCCTTGATTGTTCTGATAGTTCTGTTTCTGAGAAATATTGTAAATATTTGGTAATACTCATCTTTGATGTTAAGTGGTTTAAAGTAGTTGACAGTAGAACCTGGACTTCCATGCCAGTTGTCACTTCTTCAGCAAGACGTCCTCTAAACCTTCAGATTATTAATGCTCTTGGTCATCCAGCTTCCCAGTCTAAGATATCATCACTGACCCCATGTAGAACTGATATTTACATTGATTGACTTTAACTGGTTACCAGTATCGTGTTTTTCTATTCACTGGTGCCTTTCCCATATCCTAAAAGTGTTTATTTGCACGTTTCCAGCTAAAGTTAGGACGATTTTCAGTGAGTTTTTTAAAGACTATTTAGTTTAACCCATTTATACTATCGGTTTCTTTCCTATGCTCATCATCAACTATGTCTTTTTTTACTAAATGATCTGTTAAGCATAACTGTTCCAAATATTTCAGCTACGCTATCAGCAATTAAAATTCATTACTATATTGATTGATGTTTCTAAATGATGTAACTTGTCTATTTTTCAAAAATAAGCAATTCTCAGATTAATTTTAATTACTTCAATTATCCACAATTTTTATTTCACATGGCAAATTAATCAACAGTTAACCAAGCTTGACACTTTTCCAACATTTTGATCTATTTTCAGTTACCAGGTATTTATGCACCATCTTTATTATCGACAAAATCTGCATTTAAAACTTTATTATCATTTCGTTCACTTGTTTATTCAATAGGATTTCGTCGGTAAGTTAAATACTGGTAAATTACCTTTATGTTACGTTTTGCTTCAAATAATATATTTTACAGATTGAAATCATGAGTCAGTTGAAGCTAGATCACCATTGAAAACCTGGGAGCACTGGACGGCCGTTTCATCCTAGTATGGGACTCCTCAGCGACTCCTCCACGATCCCGCACCACGCGGGGCTCGAACCCAGGACCTACTGGCTTCGCGCTCGAGCACTTAACCACTAGACCACTGAGCCGGCATCCAACGGTGTTAATGTCTAACTTCAACCAATCCAATATATTTATATTATCGTAGGGAATTTGTGGAGAATTTTGAATTTCATAGTTTACATCACTGGTATAAGGAATTATCCACTAATAACATTGGTCGATAATTGAACAATTTTTCTAATCGTTTAAAGTTAGGCATGTGAACAATTGAATACCAGTGAAATAGTTGAAAGTTTAAGTGCTCGCTACATAACATGAATATGCTGGATCAAGTCTGCAAATGAGCCGTAGATACCCACTGTTGATGAGCCCTCGCTAGGACGAAACAGCTTTACAGTGATTGCTGGTTTTCTTTGATTATCTGACTAAGATCAGTCCCCAATGTAAACTGTGTTATATAAGATAACTGTATAACTTTAAGAAGGATTTTTATGGTTTGATTACATTTTAAAGTATTTTTTTATACGAAACTGTATTTTATTTAGCACAATTATATTGAATGCAATATTTTACCTAAAAAAATTCTTGTCTGTTACACAGTCGCTTATAGTCAGCCGGGGATTCGACAGAAATGTATATGTATGTTTAAAGAACCTCATCACTACTATATTGACTCAACTTAGACTATAATTCAATACATAGTTACGAATTAATATTTGTGAAAACTTTGTTTTTGTTCCATTTTTTGTTTTCTGATGCTATCACTTATTAGTTTTTCTTATCAGTAAAAAAAGAATTCTTTTTTTATTGTTTGGTTACTGTTTACTTGGCTGATTGGTTTATTTGTTGATTTTTTGAAATCTAAAATAAGTTATTTGTTGAATCCTATCTCATGTATAAATCTAAACTGACCTACATCCATGATGAAGAATGCTTTAGGAAATAAAAATAATTATGATAATAATAATAATAATAATAATAATAATAATAATGATAATTACACTTAAGATTTGTTATTGTATCGAATGAAAATAGCATGATCATGTGCCTTTAAACTAAATCTATCACATATATAAGTTAGGTTGTTTAGATCATTATGTTTTGAATATATATTCAACTATTCTTTCATTAGACAGAAATTGGGATACTCTCAATAATTAAACTTTCTTCAAAATGTCTATAAACGAAACAAATATCTTAACCTCGAACAATATATAATGGTAGTTTATTATTTAAAACACTTGATTTATAACCAAAAAGTCGTAGGTTCGAATCCTCTTGTGTCGTTAACTTCCGTCTGAATAACTGTTTACTACCATCAGTTTTTTCACGCACAAAAAGATGTACTTTGAAATTCAGTACATATTTGCTTAATATTTCCCAAAATGATCAATAAGCACGAAAAACATAAACCTCGTTGTGTGTTTTTATTTTGCTTACTATGTCTACTCCAAAACACAGTGGAACAACGTCAGGATATCCGATTTCATGATAATCGGTCACCAAATATAATCCGTAAACCGTTCAACTTCTCACGGTCACAGAGCCTATGTGTATCATTTGTTTGAAACCAAAGTTCCTCGATTCGCTTAGGTTCATCCTCGGCAGCCACCAACTCGGTCTGGATGCCTGACGTATGGTTTTTCTTTAACTTTCGTTTACGACATCCTTTCTACTAGAAGCCAATGAATAGGACTTCTCTTATATTGGTTTTAAACACGTGGCCGTAAGACAGAAGTTCGAGAGCTGCTTAGTCTCTATACACCCGCGGCCGTACTAAACCATTCGAAATACAGATGCGTTCGAGTAAATCAGAACTGAAAAAACTGTTTTACTGTGATTTTACGTTTTATCACGTTCTTAACTCATATACATAAAACACGGAAATGGTAGGTCGTTTAATCTTGATAATTATACTTAAAGTTCTAGGCAACCTTTGAATAGTAGTCCTGAAATATAGACCATAACAACAACAAAAGACAGTTGTATGGATTAGACTATTCTGCGGTGCGAGGCATGATGTAACTTTGAGAATTAAGAAAACTATCAATTATTTTCATAATCTCTATTATTTTCGCTTAAATAAGACTGTTAATTCTAAATATCCCATTGTTGTTTGATAGACGTCATTGTTATGTATTTTACCCTTATTTAAGAATAGTAACTTGAACCAATGTATATACGTACCAGGTTCTACGTTGTGACTGACTGGCATCGTTGCACACTGCTTACGTATCCATTTTGTCTTTTGTTTCCTGGTCTTCAATGGTTGTTTAAGCGAGATCAGATATCGATAGACACTAAATTACGACTTATTGAAAGTAATTTCAATAGTTATTTATAAGTATTTGGATGGTTCACTGAATATTGACATTATTAAAAAGAACTGGTCGTCTGATGTAGTATAATCGTTTATAAATATCTGAAAAATTGACTTTTTCACTATATTCTCATACCACCAATACATAATTCTTATACCTTTATTTCTATCAGTCAAAACTAATCATCAACAACGTAGGATCGCGTATGTATATGCATCGCTTAAAGTTGTCATATTATATCAACATAGTGAGATGGAGGTATCAAGACAAATGCCAGAGTAGTGGAAATAGTAAGAATATCAGGAGTATTGTAATATTTTAAGCAGAAGCAATGTGATTCTAAAATAAAGAACAAATTTACTGAATCAAAAGTATAAGCTAACCTTTTCCAACAACAACAAAAAACGCACAACAGAATCGTCTCTTTTCACTTCAAACACAAATGCTCAAACGTAGAAATATGCTCATGATGTTTGATAGTTATCAATATTAATTTCTTTTGTGTTTGTAGATTTTGGATTGCAAAATTAGATATTTTGGATTTTTTCAATCAAATTATTCATTCTAAATTACTAGAAGTTTTCTCTGATACTTTAAATGAAGTAAGTGAAAAATTAATAAAATGTTTAAAGTAATATTGAATGTTGAATAATAATTAGTTAAAATAATGCGCATTTTCATTGAGAATAATAATCGAAAAGGATTGTTAACATTATCAAGGCAGGTTTAAGGTTACAGCTTTCATGAAGTTCAAAAATGCTTTTGTACCATTTTTAAATCTCTTAGGGGTTTTTTTGAACAAACTTTTATAACTGTCCTTTTTTTTGTTAGTAGATAATTTTGTTTCTCTGTCAATTGTACTTAGTTATCCAAGTCTAAGATTTCATTTGGTCTTGATGCTTTATAGTTATATATTTTACAATTGTTAGTTGCATCTCCTAATTATTTCCCCTTTTGTATGTGTGTCTATTTGTATTCACGAGTACACTCAGTGTAAAATGGCAAGCAGTAGTTTTGAATTACAGTTTAATATGTAGTAATGTTTTAGTTCATCTGGTAATATTAATTTAGAATATATGGCAGCTTATTAATAAGTATAGTTATAAGATAGGCATTGTTTTCCGTAATTAATCATACAAAGAAATCGATCGTTGAAGAGACATTTAGAATGATTCTAAGAGAACATAATCCTATTCATAAACCTCATTCTCACCTTAAACTTGATTTAGTATTCTTCAGAGCATTTTTTATGCATGATATCCAATTCATTACTCTTTTTCCTACCATACATTTCACAATTTTTATATTTTCACAATCTAATCTTTTGTTTTATTTTACTTCGTTTCTATGTACAGTTTACGATCAGATTACTTAAAATATTCACTACATTAACACACTACATCGATACTTAATGATATTTTTTGCTTCCTTATAGTCTTTTGTCTCATTGGTCAGTTGGTAAACAACATGGGATCTGACATGTAGATGTTTCTGTTCGAAAAATAACACTTTCAGAAAAATTTACCAGGATGAAAAACAAACTCAGTTAGATTTTAATGATAATGACGATATCCATGGTGCTGGCAAACTAAACATAGAGAGTAAAATAAAAGAGTAATATGATAACCGTGAACTAACATTGAAATCAAAGATTTAGATAACTAAATGCATTTTTGCTGTTGTCACCTGAAGTCTGCAATTACGGAATACCATTGTGTTTAAATCTCAGTCTAAACATTTACACGTCCCTATATGTTTCGGTCCATCAGAAACTGACTTTATAGACTAAAAGCATTTTACGAGGTGATGTCACACTCATAAGTTTTCTTTATACATTACATTTAATATCAGCATCCATCGCTTGTTTGATCACATGCCAACTATGTTTCGATGTCTACTATGGGAAAGCTAACAGATTGTGCATTTTCTCATAAGCCATGTGTTACACATGGGAATTAGTATGAAATGAACTGCTATGAGGCACATTTGGCCTTTGATAGGTAGATAAACTTCTCACAAAGGTCTAGCAAACCTTACTAATAAATAACGATACGTATAACAAAAGCATTCTGCGTTTGATTATGCTCAACGTTTTTTCTAACACGGGTTCATTATTCGATAGTATCTGGTTTATTTCCTGTTAGAACAAATACCTGGTATCAACAGTACTATATTATTTACGAATATAATAAAAAGACACTGTACTTTATGCATTTCCTTCATTTTCAAGGTCAGCAATTATATGTATCCAACACCAAATATACATTTCCTTCTTCGTGAATTGGAATGGTTCTTAAAAGAATCCATCATTTCTGTATGTTTTAACCGATTCATTGCTAGTATTAGTAATAATAATTCTTATAAAGTTATTTGATGTGTATATTTGTTCCTTTCAGAAATAGTTGAGACTTTTGATGGTTAATTTCATGTGTTTTTAAGGTAAACAGCATCACGAAATAATGTTGGCTAGTGTAAAATCATTGAATATCAGCAATTACTAGTATTAGGACAGTGTAAAAAACGAAACTACGTTTGAAATAAATGCGATATATATTTATTTTACCATCGCTTGTATGAATTCAGTGCCAAATTCACTCATTATAACATACGGTTGTATAACTTCATCGTGAAGTCCAGTTGGATTCCTATCATTTCGGTTGTAAATGATATTCTATGACTAATGATCAAATGTCAGTAGAATTTGTATACAACTGAGTCTGTTTGATAAACGTGGTTGTCGTGTTTTTGAAGAAGAAATAGAATCTTCATCTGCCATCAGGTTTTGTTTTGTTTCCTACATTGTGCAAAATATCAGTGTCTTCTTATTCCAAACACTAGTTTCCTTGATTATAACACCTAGATAGTTATTGCATCCTTATTTTGAACTTGACAGTAAAATATTAGGCCATATGTTGAACTCAAATTAATTTCAAAATCATACCCGTTTATTGGAATTTAAATTTTTAATAGACTGTTCATGTATAATGTATTCTAACGTAAAACGTTCATCATCGCTAAATTATAAAACGTGTCTATGTGATAAGACAATTCTATCACAGACCGACAATCACTTACAGTAATAAAAGTAGAAATGGATCATAAGAATAAAACGTTATTGTTCATGAGTACTATAGGATAGGTATATTGTGGCTCACAGTGAAATTCACGACATGCGTTTCCTCTTACTTAAGACTCTTCAGTTGGTTGTGCCCAAATCCGTGGCGATATTCAGATCGAGACTCGAACCCAGTACTTCTCTCTATAAAGCTAACGGGTTTATTCAAACCGTATATATATATATATATATATATATATATATATATATATATATATATATATATATATATATATATATATATATATATATGAATAAACATATATTTTTGACCTTTTTTAAACAAAATCTATTAACAGATTGATGGAAAGTTATATTCGTTCATCAAAGGTATTCCCCAAGGATCGTGTGTTAGTTCAGATTTGGCTAATATCTATTTAGCTCATTTGGATCGTGAATTACATAGAACACAAACTATTCTTTGGTCTCCTCATAAATTCCTACAAAATGATGTATTTAAAACAACAGATATTCAATTAAATAAATGTTCAACTATTCTACGTTATTTAGACGATTATCTGTGTATATCAACATCTAAAATTGAATTACAAAATTTAATAAAGAGAATAAACACTTGTGAGGAATATTTATGTTATTTTATGATTAAAATATCATATTTTTTTATCTTTGAATGTTTTATTTCGTGGGTGCTCACTGCTGAGGAGTCCCATAATAGAATGAAGCCGCCGTTCAGTGCTTCCAGGTTTTCAACGTTGGTCTAGCTTAGATAAACTCACGAATTCAACTACTAAATTACTACAATCTCTACAAACCCCCATTTTGATAATATTTTTTTCATTTTGAAAAAAAGAATAATCTTTTGCTTGAATCTAATTATGTATTAATTTTCCTCTTTATAGGTATCAGTACCCCGACTGGACTTGATAGCTTCAAATAAATTGAGCATTGAGTAGAGAGTTAATAATATATTTATTAATAATTATCCTGTTTGTATATTGGTTAGTGTGTTTAAGGAGTCATGATCTAGTTTTGATTTCATCGATTTCCCTCAAGATTTGATACATTCATATTCTATAATTAGTTTGTATGCGCAACTGAATAGTCCTGATTGGGGTACCATTGGATCACCGATTACGTGTTTCATCTTAGCATGGGACTCCCCAAGAGTGTGCAGATATGAGCCAAACGGTTCCATAGGATGAAAAAGGTTTTCAATATTTCTTGATTTTCACTGGTATCCCATCCGTGATGAGTAAACTTTGCAAATTTAACTGATCTCCACTACATATCTGCCCTATCTTTAAATTTCTATAAAGAAAACAAATTCATGAAAACTATGGAGGTAGAGCGGTTTAGTAAAATACTCTATTTTTGGTTATTAGACAGAATATTTCATCTTCATAACATCTGTTGTGGTTTAAACAGCCGAAAAACATCACAAATACATAAAAATGGTACAGATCAAAGCGGGTTACTTCATAAATGAATTACATTATGAGTGAGGATAAGCTAATCATAAGATATTAAAATGATGAATAATTATGTTTGTTCTCTCCAAAGTTGATAGAACATTTTGATAATAAAATAGATGAAACGTGAATTCAAATAAATACTAGGATTCGCAGTAGATAATGTTTAGGTTATAGGTTCACAATAGTCGGTATATTGAGACACTGGACCTAACCAGTCATGATGAGTATCATGTTTATATGCAAATGTGCGTTTGAAGTTTAAGTCCATACCAACTAATTAATAATCAGTCAGTCCTTCAATTTATTTATTGAATTGACAGGATTGGGTTTGACTCTTATGTAATTATGAAAGTCAGTTGAAATTACAATGATTCCGAAACTAAAATAACTCCAGCTACAATTCACCTATACATAAATATTGCTTTTTCAACCTAGATCATATCAAACTATCCAGTTCTCTATTCATATAATTCGAAATGCTTTTGATACTAACTGAATCTTAATACTTTCTTTCTCCCTGTCATCATTTATTTACCGAATATGTAAACAATGTGAAAACTCTATATACATTCACAATTCATCATTTTTGTTTGAACTTAACAAAATCAACCTGTATACTTATTGACTAATAAATTCTTGAAGTTGGTTAGAGATTTACTCATGTTTGATAGTGTACTGTAATAAGGTGTACTGACAGTAATCATTATTAATATTTGAGTGTGTACCCATAAACTTATTTACGTCTGTTACTCCCAATGGAGCATAGGCCGCCGACCGGCATTCTCAAACCCACTCTGTCCTGGGCCTTCTTTTCTAGTTTTATCCAATTATTGTTCATTCTTCTCATATATGTCTCCATTTTTCGGCGTAATGTGTTATTTGGTCTTCCTCTCCTCCTTCATTCATGAGGATTCTAAGTGAGTGCTTGCCTGGTGACGCAGTTGGGTGCTTTCCTCAATGTGTGTCCTACCCACTTCCATCGCTTTTTCCTGATTTCTTCGTCAGCTGGGATCTGGTTTGTTCTCTCCCACAGTAGGCTGTTGCTGACAGTGTCCGGCCAACGGGTCCGAAGTATTTTGCGTAGACAACTGTTAATAAACACTTGTATCTTCTGGACGATGGTTTTCGTCGTTCTCCAGGTTTTTGCTCTATACAGTAGAATTGTTTTGACATTTGCATTAAAAATCCAGACTTTGGTGTTGGTTGACAATTGTTTTCAGTTCCACATGTTCTTCAGTTGTAAATATGCTGATCTTGCTTTGCCGAACCACGCCTTCACATCTGCATCAGATTCACCGTGTTCATCAATGATGCTGCTCAGATATGTAAAAATGTTTACTTCTTCCAAATCTTCTCCGTCAATTGTGATTCGATTGGTGCATGCTGTGTTGTATCGGAGAATCTTGCTTTTCCCATTGTGTATATTGAGACCTACTGCTTCTGGGGTTGCTGCTACACTGGTCGTCTTCTCCTGCATTTGTTGTTGCGTGTGCGATAGAAGAGCGAGATCATCTGCGAAATCTAGGTCGTCCAGTTGCATTCTAGCTGTCCACTGTATCCCGTGCATCCCTTCAGGTGTTGACGTTTTCATGATCCAGTCGATCATCAGGAGAAAGAGTAAGGGTGAGAGTAAGCAACCTTACCTGACACCGGTCTTTACCTCGAACGACTTTGTCAACTGTCCTCTATGCACGATTTTGCAGTTTAATCCGTCATAGGAATTCTGTATGATATTTACCATCTATTCAGGCACTCCGTAGTGTCGAAGAAGCTTCCATAGTGTTGTCCTGTCCACTCTATCAAATGGTTTCTCGTAGTCAATGAAGTTGATGTATAGTGATAAATTCCATTCAATTGGTTGTTCCACAACGATCCGTAGAGTTGCGATCTGGTCTGTACACGATCTATCCTTACGGAATCCAGCCTGTTGGTTTCGAAGTTGGGCGTGTACGGAGTCCTTTATTCTGTTTAATAATACTTTGTTGAATACTTTTCCTGGTGTTGTGAGAAGAGTGATGCCCCTGTAGTTATCACACTTGCTGAGATCGCTTTTTTTGGTATCTTGATCAGAAGTCCTTTCTTTCTAGTCTGTTGATACTTGTTCTTCATCTCGAATCTTGCTGAACTTATGAACTTAATGTCACTCATATTTTTACAATCTCTTATCAATCAAACAGTGATCAACACTATACATTCTTTTTTACTACTTACTATTATACCAATAATCAATCAACTTTTAATTAATCAAAAATATAGATTATATAAAAGATTTGATTTTATCAGAAAAATTAATTTATCACTGTATATATATATTACATCATAATTTGTTCAATTTAGTATAAGTATTCATTGTATTTCTCTTTATGTTTTTCTTTTGTTTTCAGCACTTAACTCTTATGGATTATTATTGAATGAAGAAAAATTGCAAACTAATTTATATGACCCAAGTAAAGTTTCATGATTTTAAATAATCTCCTTTTTTTAGCTGACTTCTGTTTGAAAGATATCACTATAAAAATTACTTACTTACTCACGCCTTTTACTCCTAATGGAGCATAGACCGCCGACCAGCATTCTCCAACCCACTCTGTCCTGTGCCTTCTTTTCTAGTTCCATCTAATTCTTGTTCATTTTTCTCATGTCTATTTTTATTTCCCGGCGTAATGTGTTCTCTGGTCTTCCTCTCCTCCTTTGGCCTTGAGGATTCCATGTGAGGGCTTGCCTCGTGACGCAGTTGGGTGCTTTCCTCAATGTGTGTCCTACCCACTTCCATCGCTTTTTCCTGATTTCTTCGTCAGCTGGGATCTGGTTTGTTCTCTCCCATAGTAGGCTGTTGCTGACAGTGTCCGGCCAACGGATCCGAAGTATTTTGCGTAGAAAACTGTTAATAAACACCTGTATTTTCTGGATGATTGCTTTCGTCGTTCTCCAGGTTTTGCTCCATACAGTAGAACTGTCTTGACATTTGTATTGAAAACTCCGCCTGGAGTCCCTCCGGGGGCTACTGCCGGTCCCAAGCCCGGATAAAGAAGGAGGGTTGGGCATGGGGTTAGCGTCCCCATCCAGGAGAAAACTAACTCGCTAAAAAAACGCTAACCAGAAAAAAATTATAAAAATTAAGTCGATGAAAAATGTGTTTTAATTTTAGTTTTTTATTATTAAAAAAATCCATCTGCAAATTAGTCACTATTTATCACAAGAATAAACACTGTCGATATCCAGCTTATAAGGTATGGTGGAAGTGATTACTTGATACTCTTTTAAATTTCAAAAATTATTCGTTTTACGTTAGTTACTGTTATAACTTGTGAAACTGCGTGCCCTGTACATTGGATAAGGTAACGATACCGCCATGCAGAGAGCAGCGAATTATCGATTGAATCAGTGTCGCATAAACATGTGCGAGCAGCCTAGAGTCCTGATTGGTCCTGCTTCCTCGTCTAGCCCAGCCAGTTGAGTCCAGAACACCAATCGCAGCCTCTGCAGTATGAATCATTTATTTCAAACATACGGGGCTTATATACCAATCAAACAGACCATATCGTACCATAAAATAGAAAATAACCTTTGTACAATATTTGGCCAAAAGTGGCTGTGAATGGGGGAGATAGTAATTAATAGACAGGCCATTACTCAATAATGGTAAATCGTATAGTATATAGACTATGAGTTAAAATAAAGCTTATAATAAGAGCGACATGAATTTGAACAGTTTAGTTACATAACAATTATACAATAAAAATATACTTATAGCATTGGTCCATAAATAGATCCCAAGAATTACCATTCATTACTGTTATCAAGATATAACAGTTACAAGCAAAATTATTTATCTCATTGTATCGCAAAAAATCTCTTCGTCGAATAGTTTACAAGTTGGTTATATCAAACTAGATCAGTAGAAAACTGAACAAAACTAAGATTTTGGATGAGTTTTATTATGATTTGTTGTTTATACATTTGATATTGATCAATATATCATATCGTGATTATTATGAACGAACTTTAAGAATAGTTTGAATAATGAATGATGTTATTATCTAAGTCCTTATTTTTGTAATCAAAAAAAAAAAAAATAGGATAAGTTATTGACTGATTTACAAATAAAGAAATTTGTATACATACACGCTCGTATTCATCATTCATTTGAACCTTTACCGACCTCCTGTATCAGTGATATATTTACAATGGATTGATCACTGATCAGTAATCATTATCATGTTTATAATCCTTTATTACTGATTGAATTCTTTTTTTAATTTGTCCAATCAACATATAAAATCTTGGACCACTGTTATTCACAGATATTTATTCCATTTAGCATTATTCTTCATGGTTTTTATTATCTTCTTAATAATAATATCTTGTATAAAGTGAAAAGTCTTACTTTATAAGATATATGTATTCATTGTGTTGTAATCACTTATATATCCTTTTCTTTGTATTATATAGATTTCCCTATAAAGTGGCTTGGGATTGAAATACATTCTAGTTTAGCAATAACTTTACCCAAAAATAATAGTCCACGTAAGTTTTTAAATTCATCTATAATATAAATAACATTACATGACTTTAACATTAATTTATTGGTTTATTCAGGTCTTTGCTAAAATTTTAAATGTAAACAATTTAAAACTATCTTTTACTACAAATTGACACCAAACAAAAAATAATTACTATGGGGTTATTTTGTTTTAATTTGATATTCTGTAAGAAAAAGCATGAGCACCTCCCTTCTCCTCACTCAACAGATTCAAATTCAAGACTTCTGGTTCATATGGAGAGTATAATACCAGTGCTTGTGCCTAGTGTTCAATATATTCTTCAATCAGCTGATATCAGTTTGTAATATGAATTACTTATTAGGTTGGATTTGATTTCTACCAAGCTGATGAATTGGCAATTGATTCAATCTGATTATTTGTCGAAATTTGTGTTCATTTACTTGTATTATGATGACGATAACGAAAAGAAACCCAACAACAATAACGATATGGAACTTTACTCATCGTTATCTCAACAATACCTTACATAGAACCATTATTGAAACAGTAATAATTATGTCACGACCTTAATCTCTATGTCTACTAGTCCATTCCTAATAAGCAGAAGGGGAAAAAGAGTTGTTTCGAGCTACTCCACGACTTTGACACACTTTATCACTTAGCAAAACTCTGAGAATAGAAAAGTGTATGGGAGTAGTCCATTCATCTAACGAAGGCTTAAAATTTACTGAGTAAAGCAGACACGAAACTAAATCTTAGCACTTTACAGATGTTAAATTGAGCGAGATAATATCCCAAAACATAGTTTTCGTTGTTTGGCATTTCTTCTTTACTCGTCTGTTTGAACCAAATAATAATATTAATGTTATTTTTTGTTTTTCATTATACTTTCTGTTATTGTTTATGTTGTACTTTGAATGTTAACTTTTAGCAAAATTTTGTCGATTTTCTGGTCAATCGTTATCAGCCAATGATTGCATGAGACGATTATGTAAATTTCGTCTTCATTGTCCAACTTGGCGTTTCACTTTCCACAAGATAATCTTTAATACTAACATTAGGCAAAATGTATTTATTTGTAAAAATACAAATATCAGAAAAACAGATTATTTGTTACAAATCAACGCTAATCGATTAGGCAACAAAATAGCTGATATTGTATGGATATCTTTGAAAACTTCACCGGAAAAAGATCGATTACTTCAACCTTCTATATCTCGAAGACTAGCAAGTAAGCGAAAACAACGATGTTGTAGTATGAAAAGAGATTTTTCCCCCTTTTTAATTAACATGGAAATTTTTCTTCATATCACAAAACCCAAGGAACTGCAATTGATTCCGCGAAACCCATTTTAAAATAGGCTTATGTAACAGACCCTTATATCATTTATTATATATCAATAATGTTGAGAGCTGGGATATGTGTATGAAAATTAGATAGGGCTAGTAAAACTTTCTGATTGGTAATTCACAGATCGATATCTTAAATACAGGTCCCACCTAGTTCTCATGCTTCTTATTTTTTCATCCATAATTAAAAAATACTGAGTAATTAAACTCTTGCCCTCCATAATATCTTTTATCTGAAAATCTACATTTTCGCACTTGAATTGATAAATCAAGCTGAAAGAAAATGTGAGTTTCAGTATGGTTCAAACATATAACTGTCAAATCACTGAATAAATAGAATCTAACTACCAACTAGGTTTCAATTTCACTTCAGTTATTTAATGTTGTTCGTTATTGTTTCATGTAAATAACAGATAAGTATATATTCTTAACTGATTACATTCTATAACCTATTAGATAAATTCGTTTCTTCAAATTTAAATCTGAACAAAAACTGAATTGATGAGGATGCGCAGATAAGCAGTCATTGGTAATAATCACAAGAACGTTGAGTAATTAACTAAACAATCTGTAGTTCATATCTTTTTTGTTGTTGATTAAGGTCTCAACATCAACTAAGCAGAACAATCTGAATTGCTTTTTATTTCACGATCTTTCTTCAACCACTTACAATCGTACTTGTGTTCGGGTGTAACATTAAATTATGATAATATACGATGCTTATCAGTTATGTATATATGAGAATAAATGTATGCAGGGTTATTTGAAAATGAACATTGAAGACCTACAAAAGGTGAAGCAGTAATTACATTGCATTAAAAAAAAGATAGATTACGTAATAACTGCTGGTATTTGTCAAGTTAGCATAAGTCTAAAATTTCCAACTTTATACACGTTGTTATTTCAGTTGTTTTCCATCATCAATGTAGATTACTTTTTATTATATCATAATTCAATGCTATATTTCTATACGAATACGCTTTTAAGTGGATGAAGACACCATAAAATAAAATCGATTCATATTGTTTTGCCTTAAATGTTCTTCTAGCTTTATTTCAGTTCATAAACGTAACTAACTATATCTTCTTTATGTACTTTATGATGTTTACTTGTGTTTTAATCATTAACTTAATATAGTCAACGAATTTTCAGATTTAAGCAAGTGTTTCCATCAACTTTTCTTGTCTCACATAAGTTTAGTTGTATGATGTTTTTCTTTCGAAATACTGTTACAAAGGAAAGCATGGACTATGATTAGTTGAATATTGAATAACATTTTGTTAAATGACAGGTATATTCCATTACATAAATAGGGTGATAATGACAGTGATTACAGAATACAATGAAACCATGTGTCATTCTTGCTTAATTGAAAATTATATAGGGAACCAGCTATATGAAATACCAGTATTTCAAAGGTATTGTTCAAAATAGTTGATTTGTTTTTTTAAAAAATTCTCTGTGCATGTATTTAAAGTTGTTGACAAACAGTTCAATGCTGTTCTATTAAGATTTATTGAATCCATACTGATTAGAATGGTTAAATCTGATTTTCGTATTCAAAGAGTCACTGACTGAGTATCTAAAACAAAGTTCAATTCTTGATTTGTTCTAATGAATTCATATCTTTCTGAAAACAAAAATGTTATTTTACTCCACTAAATTCATAGAATTAACTTCTATTCGCCTGTGTATGTTTCAGATTACAGTTGCTATGATTCATTTATCATATATGATACATATACATATTGATGATTCATTCAAATGATAATTAGTTTCAACAAGCCCACACATTGGATCAACTTGTTTCCTTTAAATATTCAAATTTTATTTAATTAGATAAATAAGAAAAGAAAGATAACTATAAAAAAGCATATTGTTTTCCTCCCCAATAATATTTATTTCCTTTATTTGTATAATATACTCAGATTACAGTGTTATAGTGCACATTTGTTATGTCTCAAGTCGATTTCGGTGCATCAATTAAAAACCATTATTTTTTATGAAATCAGTTTTTTCACATAACCATGATGTACACAAACATGACTTTAAATCAGTCATGAAGATATGAAACTGACCAATCAGAGGTAAAAAAAAGAAATCTTAAGCATTAAGTGTAGATAGTAAGTTGAAATGACTAATGATTCATTGATATGTAGACCATGTTTCAGAAACGCATATTAATGAAGGTATTTAGTTATAAAGCGGACCATGTAAATCAACGAACACATTGTTACAATGAATATTATTAGCAATGCAATTAATTCTGGAGTGTTTAAATTCAATTCGCTTCTTACACATAAATTGGATACATTTGTCTTTGTAAAGTTCCTTGATATCAACGAATACTTTAATCAGTCAACATATTAATATAATCCATACAATGTTGAGTCACATAAACTAGTAGTTACATTGTAACTCTACCAATAGAATTCGACCAGTACTAAAGGAATAGACAGATATGACATTGATCAGCGCTTAATGAGCAGTCAATTATAAATACCTCTCTCTGAAATTCCATTATTAAGAAATGTCAAATATAAACACTGTTAATATTCTAGGTGTTTCTAATCGTGTAGTAATTATTTTTGGCTTGAACTAATTCGATGATAGAAACATTTCAATCATGTTTTCATTTATTTATTTCATGTTTCTGTATATTAAAAGTAGCTGCTGACAGATTCAGTTCAAAAAAGTTATTTACCACAGGCAATCAAATATAGTTTTGCAATATCGTTAATTTATTGATGTTAAATATGTACACTATTAGATTTCAATTCAATGGCCTAAAGGTTATTCATTCGTATGTGACACTGAAAGTCTTGGATTCAATTTTATTATTTATTTATTTCAACACATAGATAATGGTACAAAGAGGCACCAAATACATATGCGCCACACAAATCTCGTTCGATATGTGTGAGGGCTGTGATACTGTCCGGGTGCCCAAACCGAAGCAGGTGGTTTTCTTAGGGGGCCACACCCCGAGCCTTCGACCTGAAGGTCTGATCCACAAGGCAGTGGAGCATCGTAAGGAGATGCAGTCCCATGGAAGCCGGTGACCAACAATTGATCCATACGCCATTTGTTTGCGCAGGATACTGGGGCCCATGTGCACCATTGGTTTGGAATCCAGTTAAAGCGCCGGACATTCGCCTTTCGTCCTCTCATTTTCGTAAAACAAAACCCCCGCCACGAGAAGGTTGTGAGTAGGACTTCCCTGGCAGAGGCTATATACGCGTGGCTATGTGAAAGCATTTGGAGAGGGAGAGCGGACTCTCCCCACTTTCGGCCTTACCAGGGCATTTGGGGGGTTGGATTCAATTGTCTATAGTGAAGTCATGGATTTATACTATTGAATAGTTTAACATTAGGACAGAAAATCTATCTAATACTTCTTGACTCTCAGTGATTGTCTATCTAAGATCAATGTATAATATAATTTATAGAAATATAATTTGTTATTTTATTAAAATTATTTCAAAGAATCAGTTTTATAATTTGTTTTAATTTATTTTTAAATAATTATAACCTTTATTTTATTTTATTAATTCAGAAGTAATATTTAGGTGTATATCTGTAAATATTGGCTTTAATCGTTACTGGTTATATCATTTAACTGTGAATAGTTTTATTAAACGTTTACTTCCACATAAAGGTGAATTAAAATGGTTAATTAATTGGATGCAACAATTTAATCATTTAAACAACAAAAATGTGTTTTTTAAAATTTTATAATAAAAAGAAAATAATCACTATGTAATTAATTATTGTAAACAAAATAAATTTTCTCATTTTATTTTATGGATAAGAATGATTGTTTTATTTTTTATTCTTGAGAAGATTTAATCAAACAGACAGTTTTTGTCAATTATAACACAACATTATGAGATTGTATAGTGTATATACTTTTTCTTGTATATGCATTATATTTCTCTGTTTGTTTAAATAATAATGGCTTAGAGTATTTAAATTGAGATCATGAACCGATTGATGTTAGAACACCATTGAAAACTTGGGAGCAATGGATGGCCGTTTCGTCCTGTTGTGGGACTCCTCAGCACTGCGCATCCACGTTCCCGCTTGCGGGATTCGAACTCAGGGCTTTCAGTTTTGCACGTGAACGATTAGCCTACTGGACCACCGAGCTGGCATCCAACAGTGTTAGTATCTAATCTCAACTAATCCACGAAATTGCGTGACCATCTTCCATTGTACTGAGGTACATACCTGCCTCTACCCAATATGGATTAACTCCATAATCTCAATCAAAAACTTAATAATCTCCACAACTTTTATACTGATAGTTAGAGTATTTAGTTGTTGATATTTTTTGTATTAAAATGTAATCAGTCTTGATTGGTATATATTCATCTTGAGGGACTGCATTGATATAGCCATTATAACACAAGTTTAGTTGGAATGCGCTGACATTAAATTGGTCATCACGAGATGTACATATTACTAATCAAAATTGGTTGAGTTCTAGTCAAAATATCAAGGGGTTATTCCAAATCTTCGAATTTATTGTCAATTTATGAATGAATTAATGTTGGGACTCAAGAACTAAATGGGTAACTCATTGCCGTTTTAAAGAACGGTATTGGGTTTGAGTCCCATAGTGAACATCAACTCTGGGATTCAGTTGTATCCAGCTGATGAGTCTAAAATGAGATGAAACGTCCTTCCAGGATTTCGCTGCTAGCTACATTCTATGTCTTCTACCTAGGGTATTCTCATTGCTTTTAACTCTGGCTCAGTTGATATGCCGTCTGATCAATTCTTTCTTCTAAAATCATACTTTTCCTATCACCGATGCTGCTACTGTACTGAACGCTAATACCAGTTGGGTCAACCGAATGTATTTAAACACAAATTTACAGAACATCTTAGTAAAATCCGAGAACCATACAGTAAATGCTTCATTTGCAAAATGTCAATCAATTGTCTCAGACTTGATTGTTCCTTCATTTCCACACCAATCAGTCTCTGTTCTCGCTCTCTTCTTTTCTATCCTCTCAACCTTCAATCGCCAGGCATTCCACTTTCGGTTGGTGGTACATACTACTTATATCTGTTGATATCAGCAGGACACACCACTCTAGTATTCATTTTAATAATTTCATCTCGCTGTGCTAATATTTTGTGGCAGTTTAAATAGATTCACATATGTGTCAGGTTTTATATTGCCTATGGCTGATGGACAACAGATTTAGTTTTGCTTGTTAATTTGACCTTATTTCAATACTTAGAACATTAACTAAACCTATCCTGTACTTGAGCCTTGAATACCATAAATTATATTTCGCAGTGAACTTCTATCACACTGAACTAGATATTTATTTAGGTATATTCATAATGACCTCATGAAGAGTATGTTATTTAACACAAACTTCTGATAAATTGAAAAGTCATTCCTATTTGATCAAACCCAGTTTATTTTCCTCAGTCAATAAACTGAAATTTATCTCCGTTCTCTTATTAGAGTCTGACTGAAATAACCTCGATCGGGAGGGCTTAGGCTGACAATTATCAATAAGCTTAGTGGGAATAATATTCATCGTTCCAGAACCATGTGAATAAATGCTTCTTTTAATATGATGAATTTAACTCAGACAATCGAAAATAGTCGCGAAATTTCATGGATTAGTTGCAGTTAGACATTAACACCGTTGGATGCCAGCTCGGTAGTCTAGAGGTTAAACGTTCGCGCTATACTGAAGGTCCTGGGTTCGAATCCGGCGTGCGAACTCGTGGATGCACGCCCCTAAGGAGTTCCATACTAGGGCGAAACGGCCGTCCAGTGCTTTCAGGTTTTCAATGGTGATTTAACATTAATCGATCCCTGATCTTAATCAAAAACTTAACAATCCCCACAACCTCACTCTTATGCTTGTGATTTTCTCATAATATTTACATATTTGCCCGCTCCCTTCAATCCACTATGAAACATCTAGAACTTCATAGCTTTATTGGTGTTGAAAATTCCCCTTATAAATACCTTCATTTTTGGGCAACCAGTTATGCAATAACTCACATTAGATCAAAGCCCTTATTCATGCCTGCAGAGATACATTATTTTAGACAGATTTGTTGTGCTGTGTTGGGGGGCCCTTTATTTTGTCGTCATTTAGATCGGACGATGTTTGTTAGCGGGCTATCCACTTTAGTGACCCGGGATCTAACTTCAATCGTTGTCGAAATATATGTGTCGCCTATCCTCGTATATAATCATCAACTTAAATCGCGTTAGTCAATAACGGAATCAAACATATCAAATAACGAGAATGGACTTTTGAATACATATATTTTGTTTAATCGTTGATCCAGACAAACGAGCGGGGAAACTATGCGAAGAGAAGAGAGCGAAGCGAAAATGACGCGCGCTGAAGAAAGCGTGTGAGCCAACTCCATTTAGTCATTAATCAATATTTATAGTCTCACAAAAATAGGTCAGACATGTGATGAGTAATTGGATAAGAAGAGTACACATGTATGCGCTCATATAAAAACAGTCAAAGTTGATAAGCGAATAATTATCAAGGTCAGAATGTGACTCAGGTAGAATGAATAGACTGGTTTGTCCGAAAACTAGAACAAGGTATATGGGCTTAATATAATCAACCGACACAACAAGTTCCCTCCTTACCTCGAATACAGAAATCGAATAATAATTAAGTTTCTTGAGTAATTGTTTTATAGTTGGTTACTCATCATTGAAGTAAATTGGAATTATCTATTATTTTCCCTGGGTGGAATTTCGTTGTTCTGCTGATGAGCATTTTTTTCTATTGTAATTATTAGATTTCATTGAGTGTCCTGTATCTGCTGATAGGGCATCCTCCAAGTGCTACTAGTTTTACTTGAGTATACATTTTTTATAACAAAACCACTAGTGTACGTCTTTGAATAAGCGTCTCTGATTTATTTGAACTGAGGAACTACAAACTGTGTAGACAAACCGGAAGCACTCCAACTCTATATCTAAAAGGCTGTTTGAGGAAGACCTGTATTATTTCTCTAGTTGTTAACTCAATGAGCGGGTCTGTTGATTTTAATACGTGAATGAATCCCCAAAATCAACAGATTTCTATGCCTCAAAGTTGTATTGGCCGACATGAAAAAATATAATTGACATAGTACTCCAAATATAAAAATTACAAGAAATATTCAGCAGGATGTTATCATGCACAAATGAAAGATCAGAAATCATTTTCACGGTTATTATTATGAAGCTGTCTAGAATGAACACAGCCATCCACGATATATCAATCAAGTGATTATGAAACATCGCTACCTCGTGGACACTAGCGCAGAAGTTAGCGTTCTTCATCCGAATCCTAAATGCCGCTGCACGAAATCATTTTTGACTTACATACAGCAGATGGGAAACTGATTACCACGTATGGCAAAACATGTATGTATCTTAACGTGGGTTTACGCAAAACCGTTTGCAAGATTTATGTTGTTGCAGATGTTTCAATGCTAACCAACAGTGTAAACCTGCCACAACACCATGATCTACTTGTCGACAAGCGAACGGAGATCATTAGACGGAAATACTAGTTTATCTCTATATGTGACTTTTTTTGGGTTACAGATTATCCACAGTCACAGTAAGGCACACGATTTATTTATTTTACCAGCAGACACTTGACAAGTACTTTGATCTGCACCAAACGCGAACAAAATTACCCCATTACTATATGCAACAATGTAACCCAGTTTGCACTTCGTACCAATTCGGTTGATCAATCATCTGATTTAGATCACTAAAATTCATATCCTAAGGCAAAAATTTCCGTTTCTGTAAGAGGACTTTCTTTACTCTGTAACGGATAAAAACGTTCCCATAGCTTTCAAGCTAACCTTAGACCTGTTTACATCCCAGGAAAAAACTAGGATTAACCTTTTATCGTGAAATGTAGGAAAATCAGAGCGAAACTCACTTTGTACAGTAACCTCATATCTTTCATAAATATCCTGATTACTTCAGTGGAGATCATTACTGTGAGTTCGAAAAGTGATTCAGTAAAGGTCCTTAATGAAAACCCCATGTGCAATCAATATATCTGGATTTCGTCACAACAACCCTATTTCATTTTTTGAATAGTGTGGCATGGTGGAACAAATCATAACTATTATTTACAATTGAGATGCATAAAAATTTGAAAAATTAATTGTTTCGCGATTTTGATCAAGTAAACACATCTCCAGTATTTAAGTCCAGCGTCAACGCTTGCCTCCTTCTGATGCTGCTTACTGGATTGAGTGTTTCATCGTACACACCACTTTTGGTTGCGAGACCACGATTCCACTTTGGTTGATCGTTATTTTTGCGCCGTAGGGTAAACTGCATATCAATTTGTCTAACAATGTCTTCACTGTAAGTAAAAAAATGACAAATTAGAACCTACCAACTTTCCTGGACAAATAATTTGGGCCTAGAGTACTTAACCTATTATTGGTTGAGAACTGGATATTATGTGATAGCGGAAAATATTTTGAAGATTATCTAGATACTGCCGCATAGAATACAGTATATCGACTGGATCAGTACTTGAAAATAAAACTCGATGATTTAGCAAGGATGCTTGAACGAGTGCCCTAAGCTAGTGTATGTGCAGTTAAACTAATTAGGTCAGCATCAGTTTCGACGACTTACAAAAATGCTAACATTGTGGATTTATTTGACGCTATGTGTCAGATTTATGTCTACCTATAATGTGTGACCTGCTTCTAATGAAAATAAACTTAGTCGTAAATTCATTATCGTATATAGGTTCCTTGGGCTGTTTCTAAAATTTGCCAGCTAAACTGGCTAAACTTTGAAAAATAACAAGCTTAAGAAAGAGCTGTTCTAAACAAATGTAAAAATTCAGATGATATAGCCAGGCATATTATGCTTTAAGACTCCTTCGACGGCATAAATCGTCC